TTGATTGATTCTAGGAGAAAAGACGAGTCGTCATCTTAAGGGAGATTACTCGACTTAGCCACCACAACTTTGTAGGAAAATGGTCTTTGCATCGTCTTGAGAGAAGGAATCAAGCACTCGGAATTATCGACGAGTACGCCACTATCTCCCTCAAACATAAAAGTTCCTACATCTCGATTGTATTGTTATGGGGCAAGAGATTTATTTCTCAACTGTCAAGATGACTAACATCTTATTCTCTAATGGTTTGAATAGTTTGAATAGTTTGAATTGAGTTGAAATATGAGTCTATCTAAGTTGTAAAAGAAAAAGTTCCTCCTTATGGGGTAGGATCTAAACTTAAGCGATCAACTTGAAAAGGATCAAGGATCGAATGGGGAAAATGATGCAATATGAAATGCATACGCACAAGTATCAAGTCATGCGCAGATTCTTCCTTTGGACGTATGTGATGCGATAAAACAAATTGCGGATAAAGTAAAAGCATACAAATAGGTAAAAGTGCTAAAACAAATAAGCCAAGTGCGAAAGTCGAGTGAATGCTCGAATAGTGTTGAGAGACGGAGGCGTGCACGATTGATTGAGTTGTGGGGTATTGATTAAGTTTTATATGAAATTGATTTTAGGAAATTGAGTTGCATTAGTTTTTAGTAAAAGTTTTAGGTGATAAATTAATTAAATTGGTTAGTTAGACATAAAATAAGCAAGTGATTTTAAAAAAAAAAAAGGTTTTTTTTTTATATTATCATAGTTTTAGTTTAACAAATGAATATGAATTATTTAAATTATGAAATTGTTTTCTTATTAAATAAAATAGTTTTTAATTTAACAAATAAAATAAATACAAATTATTTTAAATTATAAAGAAATAGGTCTTATTGTTTAAAAAAAAGAATAAAATTATATTTAAAAGGAATATTAAATTGTTGGAGTAAATTATTAAAAGTGAATAAATAAATTGAGTTGTTAAGATAAAAAGTTAATTAAAAAAATTAATTAAATTAAATAAAGAAAAATATTAATTAATTAAAGGGTTAATTTTAAAAGGTCATTAGTTTGTTTTAACTAAAAAAGGTTGGTTGATTAAGGTGTTAATTAGTGATTAATTGAAGGGTTAAAGGGGGGTTGGATCGCGTGTGCGTGCAAGTGAAGGGGTTCACCGTGTGGCGCGTTGTGGGCTGCAGGATGTGTGATGGAGGGTGATGATCGTGAGGGTTCACGATATGAACCGTATGTGCGCATTATCAGATTACAACAAATAAAACAAAAATTGAAAACCATAATCCCCAATTTAACTTCCCCTCTTTCTCCTCTGCTCTTCTCGTCGTGCTTCTCTTGTCTCCACCCTCTCTCTGCAATTCTTCCACCATTTTCTTCTCCTCCATTTCCTTTGCTCCACGATTCCACCATTTTCTTATCCTTCATTTCACTACCCAAATCAAACAAAAATGAAAAGTTAAATGTTAGCGCAGAAAAATCTCACGATTTAATGTTGTCGTCGTTTTTTCGTAGATTCGAAGATGGTGGTGGGCTCGCGATGGATGAAGGATCTGTGGTGGATGTTTGAGGTCAAAAATGGAGATTTTGATGACGACGAAGTTGCGGCGATTTGCGGTTGACGGCGGCGGATTCGAACGAACGCGGAGATAAGTTTCTTATCTTACAATTTCAGGGTTTTGGAAGGGATTTTTGTGGCTGTTGAATGTTTGGGTTTCTGTGATTGTTGTCTCTTTCTCTCTGTGTTCTGATTCGATTTCTTATATAGGGTTGCAGGAAATAATGTGAATTGAAGAACAATAAAGGTGTTTCCAATTCAGGCGGAGCATGCTTGGACTGTTTTGGAAGGTAATGTTAACACTTGTATCTCTGTTACAAAAGTTTCTGTTTTCGTCTGATTGTGTTGGAACCTGCTCGAATCTGCTTTGATTTGAATTGAATTTCTTTGAAGGCTTTCCTTTTCTCAAAATATTTTGTCTGGTTGTGATGGGAAGTTAATACTGGGAAGTATGATTTTTCGTTTTCGATTTGCAAATAACTTCTGAATTACTATGACTGTCATCTGGGATTATGTATATGACTTGAAATCTGACTCAACTTTTGCAGGAACAACAAAAAAAAACCGCCAACAAGCTCAAACCAACACGGTAGCCGCCAAAATCGTCAGGGACCTTTGAAGAGTTGGACGTAAATAAATTCACAGACCAAAATCTGTCAACCCGACGATAGTTCTGACGGTGGGTTTTCTTTCAGAATATTGATTTAATAATTACTTGACAGTTGATACTTATGTTCCAAATCGTCTGATGTAGGTTGTGGGTATGCTGAGTCATGTCGGCGGAAGTTTGAAGCTGTTGGCAAATATCAAGGGTGTTTGCTTCATGTTCGTCTGAAGAAGAAGTTCGAATAATACAATGTGCCGCCAGCCAGTTAGGTCCTTGACTACAACCAGCATGACAACATTATGAATTTGTTTTTCTTGTTCTGGTTTAAAGTCGTATTAATGCCGTTTCTGATTGCTCAAATTGGGTTGGAGCCATTCATTAACTCGCGCGTCTTGCATATCTCCTTCGAGGGAAACATGATGAAGGCAGTTATGCTAGCATCTCTTGCGGAGTTTGGGTATTCTCGTATCTGCAGGTACAATCCTGACATCCCATCCAAATGATTTTCATAGTGGTTGGTGATGCTTAAGTCAATTGCGGTACCGCCATTTCTTGATACTTTATGGTGTGGTGGTTCTTGATATCATTATGTAAAATGTAATACTTGTCTTTGAATATTTGGAGGATTAATGACAACAGCTTTGCATTCTTGTTTCAGCCTGCAGTTATGGAGCTAAACTGATTCACGCGACACATGTTACGTGTGTTGATGCTCTAGTTTTATCATGCTCGATGGGGAATGCGACGTGGATTATGTGGCAGGGATCAAGTCCGGAAGGATTGGTATTACAGCTGGTTACACCATGTTGAGAAACCTTTTTCTATAGATAAATCATCAAAAACAACTAGTGTTCTCATGGCCATTTCCAGTAAGCCATGTCATGAGTAGTTAGTGACGTGTCTGATACTATATTTGTGTTGGGGCCATCAACAAGCCATATTACAGCATCACAAGGGAGCTATGTTTAATTAACGTAGGCGGTATTTCGGTTCAAATAGGTAGCCATCATATGTTGTTACAACAGGTTCTCTGTGTTCGTAGCCTTGTATCTCCACCAAAGTCTTGTAGATACCATCATTGGTTACTAGAGAGCTCTTATTGAAAATTCAATTGCTTTGTAAAGTGGTATTCTCCCTTGCTGATATTGTAATGCAAACTAAGGGTATTGACAAAAACTAAATCTTAACCTGCTGACCAATTCGAGAGGGCGGTTGTGATTAATTATGCTTATAAGTCTTCATACCATTGTAAAGGCTTGAATTTTGATTTTGAGAAGAATTTCAAGCGAGAGGGCGGTTTCAAACTGATTCAAGCCTTCCACGATTTTAATCTTGATGTAAAGGTATAGGTCTCGCTTGAACTTGGGATGTACAACAATAAATTGAAACCGAATTGCACTCTTGTGGCGACACATGCGTTCATAGCTCGTGAATTATCTCCTACAAAAACTTGAATTTCACACCTTTGCACTTAAGGTTTTAATAAGTCAATGAATTTAAGTCACTTTTGTCTTGACAATAAATTACCCAAACCTTATTCATGATTCTTATCCACACTTGTCATATTAAATTATCAACCAAAACCGAACTCTTTCTCATAAATGATAATGCATCCTTATGACATCAAAATGATGATGTAACCTGGTATGCGAACCATGTCCTGAAGGAACCTTGAAGATAAAGACACAGCTTGTACTCTTCCAATGCTTATGCCTAATAGAATAAACACAGGATCTCCATAATCCGACGGTCACACCTTGAAGTGCTTGACTGCAAGGATCTACACTTGATGTTATTGCACCTGCGCAAACTGGTTAGCTGTAATAAACATACATACACAAGTAAAAGAAGACATGGAAGAAAATGCACAAGGAGGTGGGATCTTAAAGTCAAAAATTATGGTGTGACACAGGTGTATGGGCTATGTGGAATACATTTTTCCGTTTCGAAACAAAAATTCACTCGAGTTAGAAGCAACGATTTCAAGATCAATCGAAGATATTGTAAAGATATTAAAACATCCACTTGGATATTGAAATGTAATGTTTCATTTTATATTGAAATCACCTACGTAATTGTGATTTTATGTTACGAATGGTAATTTTACTTTACCAAAATACAAGTTTTTGATTTTTTGCTTCTGTTTCTGTTGCACATATATTACAAAGATGCATTTACAGATAAATTTCAGAGATATATCTCTGAATTAAAAAAATAAAATAAAAAACCCAACTAGTAGGACATAACTCAGAATTAATCTATGTTGTGTGTACTTGGAGTACGTCCGAAGATGGATCTCTAAAATCTAAAAATATTTTAGTATTTATATGTGATACTAGTAATATTTGAAAATGTTTTATTTATCCGTGGTGTACTAGTAATATTTGAAGCATGTAGTTTAAGTCGTAAATGAATGAAAAGGCTTGAAATACCATGTACAATAAGGTCCAGTCACTTCTTAGTAGCTAATATAAATCAGTATAGTTAAAGGAGTCAAGCAGAACTCATGTGCAAAAAGAAATATGTACACTGATTTGTGGCTCTAAAATCAAATTTCATATATTGATGTATTGTTGGCATCACATTCAGCAAACGCTGCGGCTAATGCTTTTGTTTGATGGGTCCATAATAAGTGGTATCCAGAATCTTTGACAAGACAAAGTTGTACAAGAACGATAGGCCCCAAGAGCAATTTTTCCTTCTAAAGATGCTTAGTTGTCACATCGAGGTTTGGCATTGGAGCAAAAACAATTGAAACCCTTTCTCTAAGCTGTTTCAGTATATGTTTAGCAGAAAATTATGACAATCAATATTCCATTTCCATTGAAAAATAAATGGTTATTGTGTGACAGAAGGTGAAGGCAGTCCCTTTGCGTGTTGACTCTCCATCTCAAGAACCATCAAGGATTTTTGCCTCTGATATCGGTTTCTTTTGGCGGCTAATGCTGCAAATTAAACAATAAAAGGTCAACAGATAACAGAGTGAATAAAACAAATAAAACAATTCTGTTGCATCTCTCCATTTCTGTCAGAATTCTTTCCTCATTTGTCACATGATTTCTCTATAATTATTAGAATTACAGCGAATGTGGATTTTGTGCCCTAATCTTTTCAACATGGTCTAAAATATACTGCTTCGTGGAATTTTGGTTGTAAACTCAACCCCGCAAATTAGTAGTGATGGCCAAACTTCATAAGAACTAATTTGACTATATCTCTGATCAATGTTTGATTGGTCGAATAAAAAATCAATAGGCTCCTCCTGGTACCCATATTAAAAAAGAAATAACAAGAAAGGTACAACCCTTTGTGCCCAAAACCAGACAACTTGGGCATGGACAAATGAAATGGATATTCTCCTATAACATGAGACACTGGTACCATGTTGAAAAAGATAAAAGTGGAAAGAAACAATGTTAGCAAAATCAAAATAAGCATTAGTAGACAGTCAGTCTGCTTGGCAAAGATGAAACTGAGTTTGTCATTAGTTTTTTATTCCATGTCAGAATATGGGAGGGGCGATATTTCAATAGTTATAGGTAGAGCCATCCCAAAAATGAATTTTAAGTGAATAAATTAAAAAGACTTGGAGCTAAATCGCCTTCCAAAACATGATTTTTTAACATAAGAATGTGCTCAAGGAGAAACTTGGATTTATATTCTCTGTTTGAGATGAAAGACCGGAGACTCAAGTATTTCTTGAGAATCGAGGTGGCCAACTCAGAACAAGGTATTTTTATCTCTTAGAGGAAGTATATGATTGGTATGTTGCAGGGAAACAGACAAAATTTGATGTAAACCTACCGGAGTTTCCGTCAAGTAAAATCACTGGATGATTTTCTAAGAGAAAAGTGCTAAGGTTGGCAAGGCCCATTACTAGAGATTAGTCTGGAAGTTGAGTTATATGTGCAATTAGTGTTGTGATTAAAAAATCAACTATTTGTATTGCTTATAATTTTTTTCAGCAGCATAACGTTGAGATACACATGTTTATACCATATATTGTCCGATGTAGAACTCATAACACACCCCCTCACACTCAGGATTGGACAACGGGCGTGGAATTAAATGGTGGGTTGTCCGATAGCAGAAACCATAGAAATTGGCCCACCGGATCTTAAACGAATATCTGATACCATGTTAAAATACAAGAGACATTTGAATAAACTGTAAGTTTCGAAAAGCACTATGGAGACATTATATATAGATAGATTACAACTAATTACATGATATAGTCGATGTGGAACTATTCTATATACAAATATTCTTAACACTATATATTTACAAATATCAACACTCCCCCCTCAATCTTAAGCATATAAGTCAAATGCACCAAGCTTGTTACATATATAGTTAATTATGGGATTTCGTAGGAATTTTGTAAACACATCTCTCAATTGATCATTAGAGTTGACAAAGCTTGTGACGATGTCGCCTGACTCGATCTTCTCTCTGACAAAGTGGCAGTCTATCTAAATATGTTTGATCCTCTCATGAAAAACTGGATTTGAAGCAATGTGCAATGCAGCTTGATTATCACAAATAAGTGTCATTGGTCTTGCTTATTCAATTTGAAGTTCCTTGAGCAACTGTTTTAACCAAATAAGTTCACATGTTGCCATTGCCATGGCCCTATACCCTGCCTCGGCGCTTGATGTTGCAACTACATTTTGTTTCTTACTTTTCCAGGATATAAGGTTTCCTCCAACAAGTACACAATACCCAGAGGTGGATCGTCTATCAATGGGTGACCCTGACCAATCAGCATCGGAGTATCCAATTATCTGGTTATGTCCTTTATCCTCATACACAAGACCTTTTCCTGAAGCACATTTGATGTATCTCAGAATCCGGATAACAGCATCCATGTGTTCCTGACAAAGGGAATTTAAGAACTGGCTTACCACACTGACTGCAAACGAAATGTCCGGACCAGTGACTGTGAGATAATTCAACTTTCCAACCAATCTCCTATACCTTCCTGATTCAGATAGAGGTTCCTCCTGATTGGGTAGTAGTTTAACACTTGGATCCATAGGAGTATCGGCTGGTTTAGCATTTAACAAACCTGTTTCTTCCAAAATATCCATAGCATATTTCCGCTGAAAAATCACCAAACCATCTTTAGATTGGGCTACTTCAATACCCAAGAAATAGCGGAGTTTACCTAGATCTTTTGTCTAAAATTGTTTCGAGAGATATTGTTTCAACTGGAGTATTCCCTGCTGATCACTACCAGTTATGACAATGTCATCTACATACACAATAAGATAAATACACCCTTGGGGTGAGTGACGATAAAAAACAGAATGGTCAGCTTCACTACGGATCATACCAAACTGTTGTACTATAGTGCTGAATCTGTCAAACCAAGCTCTCGGAGATTGCTTAAGACCATAAAAAGACCTGTGTAGCCTACAAACCATATTCAATGACTCCCCCTGAGCAACAAACCCAGGTGGTTGCTCCATATATACTTCTTCTTCAAGATCACCATGTAAGAATGCACTTTTGATGTCAAGTTGATGAAGAGACCAATGTCAAATGGCTGCAATGGCTAGAAGAAGTCTAATAGATGCCATATTGGCTACAGGCGAAAAGGTATCACTATAATCCAACCCAAAAATCTGAGTGTATCCTTTGGCTACCAAGCGAGCTTTAAATCGATCAATTTTACCATCTGGACCAACCTTCACTGTATAAAGCCAACGACAACCTACTAAAGATTTCTCATGGGGTAGAGGAACCAGTTCCCAAGTACCATTGCTTTAAAGAGCACACATTTCATCAGCCATTGTTTGCCTCCACTCAGGGTGAGATAATGATTCACTTAGAGTTTTAGGAATAGAAACAGAAGACAAAGAAGACAAACAAATATACTGCAAGGGGAAAAACGATGATAACATAAATCAATATAATGTGGAGAAGGATTTCGTTTTTGACGTATACCTTTTCGAAGGGCAATCGGAAGACCAGACTCAGGTTGCAGGATCAGATCCGGTGATGGCGAGAGCGTCGAAGGAGAGTCCGTAGTGACCTCAGAGACAGGTACAACTTCAAGGACATGTACTTCAGGGACAGGTACGGCAGACGTTGGGTGATGACGCTGATATGTTTGAAGTGGACGAGGAGTGGGAGGGTCAACCGTAGGGGTATCTAGTGGGTCAGGTTCCCTAGAATGATGGGGGATAATGACAGATGGGACTTCCGGAAGAGGTTGGGAATACTTTCCTGTAGAAGTTCCGTAGTTACTTGCATGTACTCGAAATATGGAACAAACTCGAAGAAGGTAACATCGACGGATACGAGGTATCATTGTAGAGTATGTGACTAGCAACGATAACCCTTGTGGGATCAATGATAGCCAAAAAGACACACTTTAGTGATCGAACTGATAGGTTATCAAGACCAGGGGAGAGATTATGTACAAAACACGTAGACCCGAAGACTCGAGGAGGAATTGGGTGGAGTGGAGAGTTTGAAAACAGGATTGAATGAGGGATTTTATCATTAAGGACAGATGAGGGCATGCGATTTGAGGTAACATGTCGTGAGCACGCATCTCCCCAAAACCGGAGAGGAACATTACCATGGAGAATTAGGGTCCGAGTGGTTTCTACGAGGTGCCGATTTTTGCGTTCGGCTACCCCGTTTTGTTATGATGTATGAGGGCAAGATGTTTGGTGCAAAATACCATTGGATGACATAAATGTTTGAAATTGTAGGGATAAATATTCACGTGCATTGTCACTTCATTAAAAATAACCACGTGCAACGTGAAAAATTATCAATAAAGGTGACAAAATACATAGACTCAAGAGTAGAGACAGTACGCGAGGGACCCCAAACATTAGTGTGAACTAAAGCAAAAGGGACCGAAGCTCGTTTTTTGACTCGATTGGGAAATTGACTACGAGTGTGTTTCCCTAACTGGCACGACTCACAATGTAAATTAGATACCTTCGATAAATTTGGCACCAACTTATGTAATTTGGAAAGGCTGGGATGACCTAACTGAACATGGATAGTGAGTGGAGAATCTTTGGTTGAGCATGTCTGAAATGACAATGAGAGGTCGTAAAAGCCTTGAGACTCATATCCGACGTCAATCGTTTTTCTCGAACTCCGATCTTACAGAGTAACATTATTGTTAGCGAAGGTGATACTACAATCAAGAGAACAAGTTAAACGACTGACTGAAAGTAAATAAAATGGACAATTAGGTACTTACAAAATAGAAGTAACAGATAGAGAAGGTAGAATTTGAACAATACCAATTCCTTCGGATCGGGTTTGAGAACCATTGGCAGAAGTTATAGTAGGTAAGAAACCAGAGGTAAAGAGGGAAGAGAACAAATTTTTATTACCAGTAACATGATCAGATGAACCAGAATCAAGGACCCAAGGTCGAAGAGGATATGACTGAGAGAGGTAAACAGATGAATTACCAGTGTGTGCTACCGTAGCAGTAGAATCTGAGTTCTGATAATTCTGATACCACCTGAAAAAATCATCGTAGTTTGGCGTAAAGTTCTGAGGAGTAGCCATGCGTATCTGAAGAGAGAAATATCATGCGATCGGTCGCCGGACGTACTGTCACGTGCGGTTCAGGTGGCGACGCGTGATGCCCACGCGTGGAGACGGAGGTGGCGCGTGTGGGCGCGTGCGGAGGTTTCTGCCGATGAAAAAGTTTGTCGGAAGGTCGCCGAGAATAGTAGCGACGGCGGGGCTATGACCGAAGAATGTTGAAAACTGATGGTGAGGTCGGCTTTCCGAAACGTCGCCGGAAATTTTGGCGGAACAGTAACGGCGGCAGTGGTGACAGGGTGGTCACTAGAGAATTTTGAAAAGTCAGAGGCAAACCGAAGTGACAACACAGTTTGCAAAAAAAAAAATTAATAAAAAAATTCTCACTGGAAGACAGTGGGTCAATCGGATAAAACATGGCGAAGAAAGAATTGTCTCTTAACATGCTCTAGATACCATGTTAAGAAATGTGGTTGGGTCTAACTCAATCCTACAAAACCGGTTGATAGAGTGAAAATTGCCCCTACTTATAAATACATGTTCATACCATATATTATCCGATGTGGGACTCTTAACATCATCAAAGAAAAACGGGAAAATGGATTGATAACTACAGGCAACATGGCTTATGAAATTCACAGAGCTTACCAATCAAAAAAAATCGTCCAACTTATTTGCAAGCTGAGAATGATAGATCTTATATTTTGTAATTATATGTACAGATTGTATTCAGCCAATTAATTTGGCTTGTTTGGTATAGCGTAGTCAATTTAAACAATTTAGTAATTGCACTTCCATTATGTTTTTGAAATAAAACTCAGACAATTGTTTTTCAATTCCATATTAATCTTCTTGAAATCATAATTACCTGTTAATTCATGAGGTAGAGCAAAGTCATAATCATTCCTTCTCCTCCTGATATAGATATAGACCAGCAGTAGTGTTAAACAGAAAACAAAAAGACAAGACAAGCCTATAGCAATTTTTCCATCGGTAGATAATCTTCCATTCTTCCAAAACATAGGACAAGCTGGCAGAGATGGTACACCGCACAAACCTTTGTTGCTGGAGAGGCTACAAAAAGTAAAACACAACAAATTGAAAACCAGAGATTATTTCTCGTTGAAATGCTTAAGTACGTTTAATTGCACCATAAATAGGTACATCATAACCTGTACTTGGTTGATATACTACATTACTATTTTTATACCTAAGTAAACCCTAGGATCATACAACAACTACTATTCTAAAAATTCCCCGGCATCTGTGTAAAGCTAACAGGTTTGCAATGGTAATCATTTCATTTGTTCATTTTAAAAAATGGTTTTCAGTATAAACAAAGGAACAATCACAACTATTGCATCATATTGAAGGTAAATTAATGTCGAAGATTTTTCAAATCATGCAACATAAAAAAATAACGAAACTCGAATATCCTTGCTCCAAAATTGGTAGTTCAACTACAAAGCTGAAGAAACAACCGACAATGGAAGGAGATAGAAGGATCTTTGCATAAGATTTTAGGTTTAGCATTAAATGTTCATGAAATATAAGAGACTAAGAGACATGAATAAACCGTGTGTTTTGAAAAGCACTACGGAGACATAAATAGATTACAACTAATTACATGATATAATCGATGTGGGACTATTCTATATACAAATATTCTTAACTTAGGTATAAAAATAGTAATATATATATCCCTCAAACTTGAGCATATAAGTCAAATGCACCAAACTTGTTACATATATAGTTAGTTCTGGGGCTTCGTAGGGATTTTGTAAACACATCTGTCAATTGATCATTAGAGTTGACAAAGCTTGTGACGATGTCGCCTGACTCGATCTTCTCTCTAACAAAGTGACAGTCTATCTCAATATGTTTGGTCCTCTCATGGAAGACTGGATTTGAAGCAATGTGCAATGCAGCTTGATTATCACAAATAAGTGTCATTGGTCTTACTTCTTCAATTTGAAGTTCCTTGAGCAACTCTTTTAACCAAATAAGTTCACATGTTGCCATTGCCATCGCCCTATACTCTGCATCGGCGCTTGATCTTGCAACTACATTTTGTTTCTTACTTTTTCAGGATATAAGGTTTCCTCCAACAAGTACACAATACCCAGAGGTAGATCGTCTATCAATGGGTGACCCTGCCCAATCAGCATCAGAGTATCCAATTATCTGGTTATGTCCTTTATCCTCATACACAAGACCTTTTCCTGAAGCACATTTGATGTATCTCTGGATCCGGATAACAGCATCCATGTGTTCCTGACAAAGGGAATTTAAGAACTGGCTTACCACACTGACTGCAAGCGAAATGTCCGGACCAGTGACTGTGAGATAATTCAACTTTCCAACCAATCTCTTATACCTTCCTGAGTCAGATAGAGGCTCCCCCTGATTGGGTAGTAGTTTAACACTTGGATCCATAGGTGTATCGGCTGGTTTAGCATTTAACAAACTTGTTTCTTCCAAAATATCCATAGCACATTTCCGCTGAGAAATCACCAAACCATCTTTAGATTGGGCTACTTCAATACCCAAGAAATAAAGAATTTTACCAAGATCTTTTGTCTGAAATTGTTTCGAGAGATGTTGTTTCAACTGGAGTATTCCCTGCTGATCACTACCAGTTATGACAATGTCATCTACATACACAATAAGATAAATACACCCTTAGGGTGAGTGATGATAACAAACAGAATGGTCAGCTTCACTACGGATCATACCAAACTGTTGTACTACAGTGCTGAATCTGACAAACCAAGCTCTCGGAGATTGCTTAAGACCATAAAAAAACCTGTGTAGCCTACAAACCATATTCGATGACTCCCCCTAAGCAACAAACCCAGGTGGTTGCTCCATATATACTTCCTCTTCAAGATCGCCATGTAAGAATGCATTTTTGATGTCAAGTTGATGAAGAGACCAATGTCGAATGGCTGCAATGGCTAGAAGAAGTCTAACAGATGCCATCTTGGCTACAGGCGAAAAGGTCATAATCCAACCCAAAAATTTGAGTGTATCCTTTGGCTACCAAGGGAGCTTTAAATCGATCAATCTTGCCATCTGGACCAACCTTCACTGTATAAAGCCAACGACAACCTACTAAAGATTTTCCATGGGGTAGAGGAACCAGTTCCCAGGTACCACTGCTTTGAAGAGCACACATTTCATCAATCATTGCTTGCCTCCACTCAGGGTGAGATAATGCTTCACCTGGAGTTTTAGGAATGGAAACAGAAGACAAAGAAGACAAACAGGTATACTGCAAAGGGGAAAGACGATGATAACATAAATCAATATAATGTGGAGAAGGATTTCGTGTTTGACGTATACCTTTTTCGAAGGGCAATTGGAAGATCAGACTCAGGTTGCAAGATCGAATCCGGTGATGGCAAGAGCGTCGGAGGAGAGTTCGTAGTGACCTCAGGGACAGATACAACTTCATGGACAGGTACAACTTCAGGGACAGGTACGACAGACTTTGGGTGACGACGCTGATATGTTTAAAGTGGGCGAGGAGTGGGGGGTCAACCGTAGGGATTACTAGTGGGTCAGGTTCCTTAGAATGATGGGGGATAATGACAGATGGGACTTCCGAAAGAGGTGTGGGAATACTTTCCTGTAGAGGTTCCGTAGTTACTTGGCTGGTGTAGCAACAGTAGATGGAGGGGAAATCGGACCAAACGCATGAGGTGTAGCCAAGCGCAACAGTTGTTCACTAATTGCATCATAGTTAGGTACAGTAGTACCTGATAAAATCTGGTTACGAACGGAGTCGAGTTTGGATTTAAGTGCCATGACCATGAAAAATTTACTCTGTTGTTCGGCATTAGCTGTTGCGCCTTTTGCGTACAGCATGAAGGTTGCGTAACTTGCTTTCAAGGCATCAAGCTTACTCAGATAGGTTTGCATATCCATATTTTCCATGTTTAGTGTGTCGGGTTTGAGGATGACACTGTGTAGACAATTAACGTCGTTGGAGAAGACTTTCTTGGCCTTTTCCCCGTTGGAGAAGACTTTCTTGGCCTTTTCCCAAACTTCATAGCAAGTGGAGAAGGCTTATACTGTGCTTGGAGGTTAGGTGCTATGGAGAACCATAATGACACAAAAAACAGAGTGCAATCGGGGTTATTTGCACTGGAGCACCGTTTTCCGTGAGTCGGAAAGTAAAACAGAGGTCGGTTTTTCGATTGCACTCTGGAGGAGAGGTGAGTAGATCGGCAGAGAAACGGTCAGCCGCGGGAAAAAGGGGCTCTGGGACAGCAGCGAAAGACGAAATCGGTTTTTCGATTTGCCCAAAAAAAAAAGAATTTCTCACTGGAAGATAGTAGGTCAACCGGATAAAATACAGCGAAGAAAGAATTGCCTCTTAGTAGGCTCTAGATACCATGTTGAAATACAAGAGACTAAGAGACATGAATAAACCGTGTGTTTTGAAAAGCACTACGGAGACATTATTATATATAAATAGATTACAACTAATTACATGATATAGTCGATGTGGGACTATATATATATATACAGAATCCCCCTCAAGAAAAAGAATCAAAATCGAAGGCCCTCTCACCCGTTCGCCACTTTGTTTTCAACTGTTCCCACCTCCAGAAATAGCACCGCTTGCTTATTCAAGACCGCCACTTCTATAACACCAACTGCGGATACCGTACCTTCATGTACAGCTTTCTTCTTTCACAACTCTTTCCTCCTAACGCTGGTAAGACGCTTTCTTATCCCGAACTGACCTCCTCATCCCTCCATGTCTTCAATATCAGTTACCTGTTGGTCTTATAGAAGTAACCGGTGTTTTTAGCCGTAACCCCTGTTACCACGTAGGAAGGAGCAAGTTCTTCCATTACGGCTACTCCGAAATTTTGCACTACCACCTTATCCATCCATTACTGGAGACGAAAGCAGCTATCCCTAATGCCTTGCCCCTCTCCCTCCAGTCGGGAGCTAAACCCGGGGAGTGAGAAGAGAAGGAAGGGAAGAATCGGCTATATATATATATAGCAGGACAAGTGCACACCAACAAAAAAACCTCACACAAACACAAGAAAAACATAGAGGACCAATTAACATTTGGAAGATAAGTCATCAGATATTTCAATCAGAACACATTACATAGAAGCAGACATAGTAAAGCTGTCAGATTAAAGTGACATACTCAATGGCTCCACCATGCACACCAATAGAATAGAGTTCATCCGGCACTTGTCCTTCCAATAAGTTACCATTCAATAGCCTGGCATGACAAAATGAATTAAAAAACAGAACAAAGCAAAAATTGTGAGGATAAAAGGAACACCTGTTTAAGACTCACTAGAGCTCAAGTGCAATCTACCATTTCGTCTCTACAATGTCTGTACACTTAGAACAGTCTGTGTTGTAAATAGAAACAAACAGAATGATAAACTGAAACTGATGGAATTTTTACAAACTCTGGAGGATCCATTTTCTATACAGTGTGAATGAAACAACAGTACAACACTCCCTCTACCCATTTTCTATACAAGTGTTTTTTTAGCAAAAAAATAATGTCACAAAATAAGTGTTTTATTTTATCAATGTAACATTAATTCTTTTATAACTAATAGTGTTCAATACTTCCAAGACATTATATTCTACTATATTTATGACAAATGACAATGGTCAATCCCGTTAGGTAACAGATAATTTTGTAAACTTGTACACAGATATACTCATTTATTGTTTTTCTTAATTTATATGAAAAAACCTTAGAAACTCATATTATAGGATGAAAGGAGTAAATGACAATGGATGGAGATGAATCTCTTTGCAAAATGATGGAAAGATAAATGATAATCTCGGAATTGAGAATACCCCCTATTGAGATGAGAACAAGTTCTTAATATTCAGTCCCCATAGAATCCAAATTCCAATAATCACTTATCTTACTCATCGCGACATCACTTACTTCCTTTATAACCCCCTCACTTCCTTTCCTACCGTCCAACCCCAGAGTGCCACATGTCCATCCTGTTATAGTTTCCCCTCTCCCTTATAATCATTTAACTTTTATACTCACTGCACTTGGTCACATGCCTAACAATACCGCCCCCAACCCGAGACAGATCTATGTGTTTCTAATTGATAGTATGATAAATAAGTAAAAAATCTGAAACACTTTTAAAATATATATTAAGAGCAATTTTGTAACTGAGTTAATGTAATTACATTTTTAAATGTACAATGCTATGATTTTTGTAATCTTCAATTTTTTTTGGTGATAACTATGTTTTCATTTTATCAAATATGTATTGCATTCTTTGTATAAATATTTATAGTATATGAATTTTCCTTCACTAATCAAATTTTTTGGATCCATAACTGCTCCCAATGAAATCACCTTGTACTCAAGGTGAAAAGGATGAACTACAGAAAAATAAATTGCCCTAGATCCTATAACTTGAAGTCTTGAAGGAGAACCAAGTTATGTGTTGAAATAAGAGAGACCAAGAGACATTTAGATTAAAATGTGTGTTTCGTTGTGTGTTTCGAAAAGCATTACAGAGACATTATTATATATAGATAAATTACAGCTAATTACATTATATAGTCGATGTGGGACTATTCTATATACAAATATTCTTAACACTATATATATTTACAAATATCAACACTCCCCCTCAAACTTGAGCATATAAGTCAAATGCACCAAACTTGTTACATATATAGTTAGTTATGGGGCTTCGTAGAGATTTCGTAAACACGTCTGCCAATTGATCATTAGAGTTAACAAAGCTTGTGACGATGTCGCCCGACTCGATTTTCTCTCTAACAAAGTGAGAGTCTATCTCAATATGTTTGGTCCTTTCATGGATGACTGGATTTGAAGCAATATGCAATGCAGCTTGATTTTCACAAATAAGTGTCTTTGGTCTTACTTCTTCAACTTGAAGTTCCTTGAGCAACTGTTTTAATCAAATAAGTTCACATGTTGTCATTGCCAAGACCTTATACTCTGCCTTGGCACTTGATCTTGCAACTATATTTTATTTCTTTCTTTTCCAGGATATAAGGTTTCCTCCAACAAGTACACAATACCCAGAGGTGGATCGTCTGTCAATGGGTGACCCTGCCCAATCAGCATCGGAGTATCTAATTATTTGGGTATGTCCTTTATCCTCATACGCAAGATCTTTTCCTGTAGCATATTTGATGTATCTCAAAATTCGGATAACAACATCCATGTGTTCCTGACAAGGGGAATTTAAGAACTGGCTTACCACACTGACTGCAAAAGAAATGTCCGGACGAGTGACGGTGAGATAATTCAACTTTCCAACCAATCTCCTATATCTTCCTGAGTCAGATAAAGGCTCCCCCTGATTGGGTAGTAGTTTAACACTTGGATCCATAGGAGTATCGGCTGGTTTAGCATTTAACAAACACGTTTCTTCCAAAATATCCATAGCATATTTCCGCTGAGAAATCACCAAACCATCTTTAGATTGGGCTACTTCATTACCCAAGAAATAGTGGAGTTTACCAAGATCTTTTGTTTGAAATTGTTTCGAGATGTTATTTCAACTGGAGTACTCCCTGCTGATCATTTCCAGTTATGACAATGTCATCTACATACACAATATAAGTACACCCTTAAGGTGAGTGACGATAAAAAACAGAATGGTCAGCTTCACTACAGACCATACCAAACTGTTGTACTACAATGCTGAATCTACCAAACCAAACTCTCGGAGATTGCTTAAGACCATAAAGAGACTTGTGTAGCCTACAAACCATATTCGATGACTCCCCCTGAGCAACAAACCCAAATGGTTCCTCCATATATACTTTCTCTTCAAGATCACCATGTAAGAATGCATTTTTGATGTCAGGTTGATAAAGAGGTCAATGTCGAATGGCTGCAATGGCTAGAAGAAGTCTAACAGATGTCATCTTGACTACTGGCGAAAAGGTATCACTATAATCCAACCTAAAAATCTGAGTGTATCATTTGGCTACCAAGCGAGCTTTAAATCGATCAATCTTACCATCTAGACCAACCTTCACTGTATAAAGCCAACAACTACCTACTAAAGATTTCCCACAGGGTAGAGAAACCGGTTCCTAGATCATTCTCCGAAAAATCATTCTCCGGCGAGTGGCACAACATCTTCCACTTCAAACGCAACAGCTTCATCTTTGAATAATGCGTTCAAGACCTTTGCACAACAAATCAGCATCAAGCTTGATAACAACAACTTTCTCTCTTGGAAGCAATAAGTTGAAGGAATAATTTGCATCCATAAACTCCATCGTCACCTTGTGAATCCAGTCATTCCTCCTCGTTACCTCTCCACAGCAAATCGTGCTTCAGATCTGGAAAATCTTGAGTATGTGCAATGGCATCAAGTGGACTCTCTGCTCTTCACCTGGTTGCTCACAACACTGTCTGATGTCGTCCTTCCTCGTGTTGTGAGATGCGTTCATGCTCATGAAGTGGGGATAGTTATTAATCAATTCCAAATAACTCAGATCTATGCCAAATCTCGCCAATTACGCTTTGAGCTACGAACCATGGAGAAAGGTGATCGTACCGTAGCGCAATATCTATGGCGCATTCGACAGATCGTGGATATCTTAGAATCCATTGGAGATCCGGTTTCACATCGTGATCATCTTGAAACTATTGTTGATGGTTTACCACATGAGTACCAAGCCCTAGCTTCAATCGTTCAATATCGTGATCAACCGTGTGAGATTGTTGTTGTTGAAACGATGATTCTCTCTCATGAAGCTCGTTTGGAAAGATCCACACGTGTCGCACCTCATGATGCACTTGCTATCAACCTTACGCAAGGATCTGTAACGCAACCCCCACCGGATTTGCCGTCGTCCACTGTACAAAGGTGACAGCGCAAAACACTGTCGCGGAAGCTCAATCGCAGTTTAACAGCAATCGCGGTGGTCGTGGTGACCATTTCACACGTGGTGGTGGTCGCAATGGTGGTAGATCTAAGGTCCAGTGCCAGATCTGTGCAAAAACTGGTCATGATGCTAAGAAGTGCTACTTCAGGCTCTCAGTTGCTTCATCTGGCTCTAATCAATGGCATGCTCCCAGTGTGGCCACTGCTCCTATGGCAAACTTTGACTGCTCCTATGGCAAACTTTGTTGTTCCTTGGTTCCAAGGTATTACTCCAGCACAGGTACCACATCAATGGATGCCTCCTCCTCAGTGGCGTGGTCCTGCACAAGGTTTTCTTGCCACTCCTTCTAGCTCCTCTCATACTGCCAAGCAACCTCAAGCCTACATTGCAGGAATTGGTGCTGCATCTCTAGCTGGTAACTCTCAGTGGTATGCAAATTCTAGAGCCACTCATCATGTCACTAATTCTGCAGATCATTTTCTAGATAGCATCTCTACCTCTGGCTCAGATCAGGTCATGCTTGGCAATGGTCAAGGTCTGTCCATAACTTCCATTGGTAACACATCTTTCACACCTACACACAAACCACATGTCACACTTGCCTTGAATAACTTGTTGTTAGTGCCTCAAATGACAGAATCTGATTTCTATTAGTCAATTGGCACGTGACAACAAGGTATTCTCTGAGTTCCATCCTAATTACTGTGTTATTAAATCTCAGGCTACTTTTGAGATTCTGCTGCAAGGTACACTTGAAAAGAATGGCCTCTACACTTTTGGCAACCTCACAACTGCTTCTAATTCCATTAATAAGTCACCTCATGGGACGAGGTTTGGAGTTGGATGACCCTCCTCGAGAGCGATTCTGATTGTTGCCAAGAGATGTGAGGGCAGCAGTGTCACCTGGTGTCAGAGCATCAGTAGATGAAGGGAAAACCGGACCAAACACATGAGGTGTAGCCAAGCGCAACAGTTGTTCACTAACTGCATCATAGTTAGGAACACTAGTACCTTATAAAATTTGATTACGAGCGGAGTCGAGCTCGGATGGTAGTCCTTTAAGTGCCATGACCATGAAAAATTTACTCTATTATTCGGCATGAGTTGTTGCATCTTTTGCGTACGGCATGAGGGTTGCGTAACTTGCTTTCAAGGCATCAAGCTTACTCAGATAGGTTTGCATATCCATATTCTCCAACTTCAGTGTGTCGAGTTTGAGGATGACACTGTATAGACAATGAACGTCGTTGGAGAAGACTTTTTTGACCTTTTCGCAAACCTCATAACAAGTGGAGAAGGCTTGATACTGAGCTTGGAGGTTAGGTGCTATGGAGAACCATAACACGGTAA